CTTTGTTTCACCAGACCATCAGGAATGCTCCATTGGAAGCCATTTGGAAAGGGCAGGCACTTTCAAAAACACTTGGCAGGTGATTGGATGAATCTGTCTATCACCTTCTATCATGGGCCACTTCTGATTGGTTAACAATGGCTGGTACATGTGGAGCACAGCACTTCTGATTGGTGTGGATGACTGACACACAAGAAGTAAAAAAAAAATGTTTAAAAAAAAATGTTTAAAAAAAACACAGGCTTTGCGATTTGATAATCTCATCATTTAAAATCGCGATTTCAATTTCAAATCAATTAATCCTTCAACCCTAATCTAGACTCGTTCCGATTGGTCCAATATATGTTTGCTTCTCTAACTTTGTATTGAGTGTCTCTACTGTGACATGTGACACGCAGGGATTCCAACCTTTGCAGACCATTGACATGCACTAAAACCTATAGAACACGATACAGGAGAGGGACAACCCAAAAAGCCCCTTTAATCTGTGACCAGACTAAATTGGGTTTGTGTGACTCCTGTGTTAGCGTGCCCTTCACTTATATCAGGGGTGTCCAAACTACGGCCCGGGGGCCAAATGCGGCCCGCGGACCATTTTGAATCGGCCCACAGCAAATTAAAAAAACTATAATGGAATAAGGCCCCCAAATGAAACTTCTGCTCGTCTTATATTGTACTTCTCAAATATATATATATATATATGTACAAATATATTACACAGAAGTATTCATGTGTTTATAAGCCCACTTTTCAAATAAATTCAGTCAATTCAAGTTGGGAACATTTTCTAACAGGTAGGACACTGGTTAATAATATTGTAGCGTGTTCAAGTAACCAAGGGATATAGTATTTATCAAATAAGTATAATATGTGCACAGTTATGATACGTTTTACAGTTATGTAATGCACTGTTGTTGGGGGGGGAGACCGCCCCTTCCATATGAGTGTGTTTGTACGGCGGGCATGGAAAAGTCATACTCAGTGCGGTGAGCGCTGGCTTTATTGCTACTGTATCCGTAGCAGCCCACGCAATAGTTGGGACTGTGTACTGACGTCAGTAAAAAAGGTTTGCCCCCCCAAGCGCATATGTCAAACTCCGCCTATGGAAAAGGCCCAATAACTGATTTAACTAGCAAGCTTGAAATAGACCCTTCATGTTTCCCTTTATGATAATGAATCTGAGGCTTCTGTTTTGAGGGATGAGCTGCATCAAAATAAATGAAACCCTCTGGAGAGCTGTGATATAAGCTGTTTTTTTCGTACGACATGTTCAAGTATCAAGCATAGTTCACCCACATGTGATTGATTTTGCTAACTTATAACTGAACTGATGAGGCAGTAAACCTCATCTCTAGTGAGTGGCCCGGCCCTTTGTATGTTTTTCTGTATCTGGCCCTCAGTGACAAAAGTCTGGACACCCCTGCCTTACATGATGTCTTCATTAACCAGTTATGTAACACGCTGAAGTGTGAACATTGTAATTGTCGGTGTGGGTTCAAAGGTCATGATAACCAGGAGTCAGTCTGACCCCAGGAGACCCTCCCAGTAGGACTCGGTGTAAAAAGGTTGACTTTAGGTCGGAGCTGTCACAGTGCTTTAGATAAACAGATGGTGCTCCTGGTCAAAGATTAAGACTCCTTCCAAAACCAACAGTGTCGTGCTCACTGATAAAACTTCCCCAAAAACTGTAGAAGTTAGGTTGTGAAAGTGGCTCTGAAGAAGACCTGATCCTTTGTGTTTCTTTCCTCATATCAGATGCAGTTTTTAAAAGGATAAATGCCAATAAATATGGACTGAAGCAGAGTGTTTCAATAGCGTTATGTTCTCCTGTGGTTAAAGTAACTCACAGAGGGTAAGGAAGGTGCAACGTTACATAAGAAGAAGAGACAAGCGTGTGTGAGTGTGTATGAGTGTGTCTGTGTGTGACAGTGAGTGTCTATGCGTGTAAGTGTGTGTGTGAGTCTGTGTTTGACAGTGAGTGTCTATGCGTGTAAGTGTGTGTGTGAGTCTGTGTTTGACAGTGAGTGTCTATGCGTGTAAGTGTGTGTGTGTGTGTGTGTGTGTGTGTCTGTGTGTGACAGTGAGTGTCTATGCGTGTAAGTGTGTGTGTGAGTCTGTGTTTGACAGTGAGTGTCTATGCGTGTAAGTGTGTGTGTGTGTGTGTGTGTGTGTGTGTGTCTGTGTGTGACAGTGAGTGTCTATGCGTGTGAGTGTGTGTGAGTGTGTATGAGTGTGTCTGTGTGTGACAGTGAGTGTCTATGCGTGTAAGTGTGTGTGAGTGTGTCTGTGTGTGACAGTGAGTGTCTATGTGTGTAAGTGTGTGTGAGTGTGTATGAGTGTGTCTGTGTGTGACAGTGAGTGTCTATGTGTGTGTGAGTGTGTATGAGTGTGTCTGTGTGTGACAGTGAGTGTCTATGTGTGTGTGAGTGTGTATGAGTGTGTCTGTGTGTGACAGTGAGTGTCTATGCGTGTAAGTGTGTGTGAGTGTGTCTGTGTGTGACAGTGAGTGTCTATGTGTGTAAGTGTGTGTGAGTGTGTATGAGTGTGTCTGTGTGTGACAGTGAGTGTCTATGTGTGTGTGAGTGTGTATGAGTGTGTCTGTGTGTGACAGTGAGTGTCTATGCGTGTAAGTGTGTGTGTGAGTCTGTGTTTGACAGTGAGTGTCTATGCGTGTAAGTGTGTGTGTGAGTCTGTGTTTGACAGTGAGTGTCTATGCGTGTAAGTGTGTGTGTGTGTGTGTGTGTCTGTGTGTGACAGTGAGTGTCTATGCGTGTAAGTGTGTGTGTGAGTCTGTGTTTGACAGTGAGTGTCTATGCGTGTAAGTGTGTGTGTGTGTGTGTGTGTGTGTGTGTGTCTGTGTGTGACAGTGAGTGTCTATGCGTGTGAGTGTGTGTGTGAGTGTGTATGAGTGTGTCTGTGTGTGACAGTGAGTGTCTATGCGTGTAAGTGTGTGTGAGTGTGTCTGTGTGTGACAGTGAGTGTCTATGTGTGTAAGTGTGTGTGAGTGTGTATGAGTGTGTCTGTGTGTGACAGTGAGTGTCTATGTGTGTGTGAGTGTGTATGAGTGTGTCTGTGTGTGACAGTGAGTGTCTATGTGTGTGTGAGTGTGTATGAGTGTGTCTGTGTGTGACAGTGAGTGTCTATGCGTGTAAGTGTGTGTGTGTGTGTGTGTGAGTGTGTATGTGTGTGACAGTGAGTGTCTATGCGTGTAAGTGTGTGTGTGTGTGTGTGTGAGTGTGTATGTGTGTGACAGTGAGTGTCTATGCGTGTAAGTGTGTGTGTGAGTGTCTGTGTGTGACAGTGAGTGTCTATGCGTGTGAGTGTGTGTGTGTGTATGAGTGTGTATGAGTGTGTATGAGTGTGTCTGTGTGTGTCTATGCGTGTAAGTGTGTGTGTGAGTGTGTATGAGTGTGTATGAGTGTGTCTGTGAGTGTCTGTGTGTGTCTATGCGTGTGTCTGTGTGTGACAGTGAGTGTCTATGCATGTAAGTGTGTGTGTATGAGTGTGTATGTGTGTGACAGTGAGTGTCTATGCGTGTAAGTGTGTGTGTGTGTGTGTCTGTGTGTGACAGTGAGTGTCTATGCATGTAAGTGTGTGTGTATGAGTGTGTATGTGTGTGACAGTGAGTGTCTATGCATGTAAGTGTGTGTGTATGAGTGTGTATGTGTGTGACAGTGAGTGTCTATGCATGTAAGTGTGTGTGTGTGTGTGTCTGTGTGTGACAGTGAGTGTCTATGCATGTAAGTGTGTGTGTATGAGTGTGTCTGTGTGTGACAGTGAGTGTCTATGCGTGTAAGTGTGTGTGTGTGAGTGTGTCTGTGTGTGACAGTGTGTGTCTTATGCGGCTTTCACACCAGCGCTTTTCCCTTTCTAGCTCCGAGCTAGAGCTTTTCTGGTTCAGCTCCGGTTTCCCTTTTCAGCTCCCGCTCTGTTCACACCGCCCAGAGCTGCCGCTGCTGCGTCATGACGTCACCGTTTACGTCGCTGATTTTCTCCCCAACGGAGCTCACAACAACAACAACAACAGGGGACTGCGTCGGGTCGATGATCGTGTTGCTTTTAATCATACGAAGCCAGATTAAATTAAATAACGACTTCTCCAACCTTATACTTTTCTCCAGAGTGCCGTGGTTCATTGTTTATTAATGTGTTTCAGCGGCATTTACCGACCGCTGCAGTGCTGGCTGCTCTTCCACGGGAGTTTATTCTCCCGTTAGCTCCGGGTTAGCTCACACGGCTCTAAAGTATTCACTGTCTGACTGTCACACAAGCAGCTGATACATATCCCCAGTTCCCCTTAAGTGAATGTGTGTCAGTCTGAATTGACGCTGTTTGGCATCACAACGCTGTTATGAACGTTTCTCTGGTATAACATGGGTGATGTTAGCATAGCAACCGAAGCTAAACTGACTACTTGCTAAGCCGTTTTATACAGGCACTTTTTACCGGCGTATTTTTCAGTATGATTCTACTTGTGATAGTCGAACATGACAACCTGTGCAGCCCATGTATTGATTCCATCCGATAGCTGCTATAATAACAAACAAAACGTCTGCCTGCTCTCCACAATGATCAATAACAGCGAACGGATGGTCAAAGTAAGGTACAAATAAACAGAATCACACGAAGCCTGGTTAGTGTTGCCTGACTTTATAAAGTGTGTTTGTTTATAAGTGTGTGGTTGCCTTCTAGTCACTTTGCTCAGCGCTACTGCTTGTAGGCAGGCATGACGAGACTCTTCAGTCGACCCATGTTCAGGGGAGGTGGGTTTAGTTTCCTGCACGCCTCGACGTAAGAGAGACGTAAGCGACGCTGCCTCTTAGCTCCGGAGCTCTTGCTTCTAGACCGACAATTTATTGGAGCTGGAAACGAACCGGATTCTGGAGCTAAGAGGCGGCGCCGCTGCGGTGTGAACAGGAAAAACCGGTACTTTTCAGCTCCAGCTCCGAGCCGGCGCTGAAAACGCGTTGGTGTGAAAGGGGCATGAGTGTATCTCTCACCGGTGCAGTACTCTTTCCCCCCGTGCTGATGCTGAGGAACCGTTATCTGTCTGTAAACGATGGGTTTGACCTCCAGGATGTTCTGGTCGTGGCGATACGTCTGTTTCTCTCCCTCTGAACTGAGAGAGGAGATCTTTGAGAACACGGCAGCTTTATCGAACAGAGCCAGGTTCCCCTCGAAGTCGAAGTCAGAGTCCATGTTGTTGTCCGTCTCTCCTCCGAAACACTCGTCGTCTCTCGTCCTCGGACCTCCATTCCTCACCATGTTCTTCCTCTGAGTCGCCCCTCTGACGTTTGACTGACCTGGAGAGGCACAGAGACCATGGTGTCACTTTACATATACATAAACGTACAATACTACAAAGCGGGAGCATCCATTGCTTTACTCTCTATTGAATTCAATTAAAGGTGTCTTGGGTTTCCAGACACACCCAGAAAGTGAGAACAGTCCTGCAGATTGTTCACGTTCTCTTTTGCAAATAAACCTTTCATTTCTCAAAGTGTACAATTCTTTGCGCACGCTATGTTTGACAGATTATCCTATTGCAAAGTGTTGGGGACAAAATAGGCAATTTCCAAAAGTGGTGGAGACATGTCCCCAGTGTCTCCAGTGTCCCCAGTGTCTCCAGTGTCTCCAGTGTCTCCAGTGTCTCCAGTGTCTCCAGTGTCTCCAGTGTCTCCAGTATAGATGACACCTATGACAGCAGGTTATAAGCAACGATAAATGAGGAAGGTCCTTCCCAGGCAATAACCATGGATGTATAATAAGAACTGGAAACAGCGTGGGAGGCGGGGTCTCGTTCTTTCCTATGAGAGCTGCTCATTGGCGCATGAAGGCAAAATGGCCCAACTTTTGAGAGAGCGAAACGTCACAGATTACCCAGCATGCCTGGCTGTCAGAGCAGAAGAACCCGTGGGTGTTTCTCAATCGCGAGTAAAGCTGCTTCAGAGCCACTATTTCAAGCATACTACGTCATCGAGTGCCGCCGAAGTACTGTTCCAATCTCCAGCATACTTGGAAATCTACCGAGCCCGGCGTACTCCGTTTGGAGAAATATCGAGGCTGCACATGAGTAGACTCCGCGGTCTTAAAATCCCCACAATGCTTTGCGCACGGACCAATTTCCCCAAATCTGTGACGGAAGATGTAAGGCGGGGCCTCTCATATGACGCACACCTGCACACTTGCTAGCCTGTTCCACTCTTTGTTTTCCGAATGGCAGGAAGTATTCTTGCCTCGCTTCTGAAGCAAGATGCTCGGCAGACATGTGCTACCAAGCAAGCGTACTCGAGATTGAGAAACACCCCGTATGTGCGCTCACAGAGAATGCGCCCCTTAAGCCCCGCCCCCCGGAGCTCCCACTCTCGGCTCACTAGAATGAATGGAGAGAGAATATAAATCTAGATTCGGCTTTTAGTGCATTTTATAACTTTAAGGACTGAATGATTCTAATAAGGGCTATACAATAGTTCATACTGGGTAGTTTATTTAGTTAAAAAAAAAGTATCCACCGATTTACAGACGTCTCTTTCCCCATGTTAGTCAATGGGGAAAAGTTGTTCTGGGCCGGGTGACGTCACGGACTGATACGGAAGTTGCAGTACCGCCGTTTGGACACAACGAATATTGGGCACAGAGTCCGGCGCACTTCCTGGGGGCTTGGCAATAACCTGAACCCAAGCCCCTTCTTTAGACTTCCTGATTTAATGTTTTTTTCTCCCTTGTGCACGAATAAATACATCTTATCTTATGAAACCCCTGTGTTGTGTCTCGCACAAGGACTAACACGGAAAGGGCACTTGCAGTTCATGGGAAAGTAACAAGGTTATTATGTTCTAAATGAAATTAGTGAGGAGATATCCCAACATCAGAATCTTAATCTAATTAACAGTTCAGACGTCAGCAGTTAATTATCCAGAGCGTCAACTTCGGGATGGATTCCCAGGACAACATGTTCAGAGTAGAAAGCTTTGTTTTGGGGTAGCATTTTGAATCCAAAACATGTCTCACCACCTCAGAAAAGATTCTTACTAAATATACGTAATACATGTAGATGATTTGAAAGTAATGCAGCAGAACACACGATAGTAAATGCACCTGCTGTTCTTAATGTGTATCTTCTTGTAAGTCAGCTCAACGAAATGTAATATATAATTATAAAGCACAGTTTGTTCCTGAGCTCTTAAATCCTGCCTCGATACTCGTGTCTCTTCCTCTTATGTAACTGTGCACCTTGTGAGTAAACCACATGAGAACAAAACGCTCCATACACAAAACATACAATGGCCGTCTGAGCGTCCCTCAATAAAGTTTACATACATGTGTGCACAAACAAAAAAAAGAAATGAACAGAGAACAAAAAAAAGAAAACTGGAAAAACCTGGCGTTCAGCTTTAGCCTGGCTGAGCTCTCACGCTACGCTCAGATCGCACGCTAACTCTGGGAGGACAAGGAATCACCGAGGAGTCACAACAGCTGAGAGAAGAACAGCCTCCTTCTGAGCAGACATTCAACTGATCGCTTTATTGATTCCTAATGGAGGAAGTGGGAAGTGGAAAGGCAACTTTATTGTCAGTCTTCCAGTTTGTGTGTAGAGACAGAGATCTAAATACCGTTTCCCACCAACCCGAAATATATACAAATATGTATATCCTATATATACACAATCAACAGACACATTTATACATATGAATACATTAAGATAAAAAAAACGTAAAATGTACTCAAGAACTGTACTTAAATAAATGTTTGAGGTACTTGTACTTTACTTTCCTTTGTTAGGCTACCGTGTACTTTTCCTCCACTACATGTATTTAATACCTTTAGTTACTCTACAGATGTGGATGAATATGACTAGTTTTACTGTCGCTACTTTCACTATATTTTGATGAGAATACTTTTCTACTTTTACTTGAGGAACATTTTGAATGCAGGACTTTTACTGAAACAGAGTATTCCTACACTCTGGTACTTCTACTTTTACTCAAGTACAAGATCCGAGTACTTCTACTTTTACTCAAGAACAAGATCTGAGTACTTCTACTTTTACTCACGTACAATATCTGAGTACTTCTACTTTTTACTCAAGTACAAGATCTGAGTACTTCTACTTTTACTCAAGTACAAGATCTGAGTACTTCTACTTTTACTCAAGTACAAGATCTGAGTACTTCTACTTTTACTCAAGAACAAGATCTGAGTACTTCTACTTTTACTCAAGTACAAGATCTGAGTACTTCTACTTTTACTCAAGAACAAGATCAGCGTACTTCTACTTTTACTCAAGTACAAGATCTGAGTACTTCTACTTTTACTCAAGTACAAGATCTGAGTACTTCTACTTTTACTCAAGTACAAGATCTGAGTACTTCTACTTTTACTCAAGAACAAGATCTGAGTACTTCTACTTTTACTCACGTACAATATCTGAGTACTTCTACTTTTACTCACGTACAATATCTGAGTACTTCTACTTTTACTCAAGTACAAGAACTGAGTACTTCTACTTTTACTCACGTACAATATCTGAGTACTTCCACTTGAGTAACATTTTGAATGCAGGACTTTTACTTGTAACAGAGTACACTTCTCTTTCAAAACCAAGTACTATATGGAAGTATTTTCCTTGAGTATTTCCATTAAACTGCTACTTTATACTTTTATTTCATAACATTAAAGAGGCATAAATTGCATTTAATTGATTTAACACTCGTAGTTTATTCAAAAACTCAAATGGATCCACACTGACAAACATTGCAATGCTCTTCCATGTATTTATACGTGATAAACACTGACAAATATAATGTGTTATAAAAATATAACACTGCGAAACATCCACAACGAGTACTTTTACATCTTATATATTTATCTTGTAATACTTCTGCACTTATACTCACGTAGGATTTGGAAATCAGGACGTGTGACGAAGGTAACTTTGTCACTGTGGACTGACGGCTTCGGGCCTTGTAATATTGCACATGTGGTTTAGTTTGAAAGTGTTCCCCCTCCCGTTCTGTCTGTGGCTGGTGATTGTGTTCACCTGGTACCCCTGTGTTGTCTCTCCCCCCCCCCCCACACCTGTGTCTTATTGGCCTGATTAGTGTGTGTCAGGGCACATACACTTTTTCACCAATGATTTTCAATGACTTTTCAATGACTTCTCCAGGACCTTTACCTAATTTTCCATGACCAAAAAAATTACTCTTTCTCAGCGGTACCACTGAAAATGGTTTATTTTAACATGGAACAGGAAAATAAGGTCTGAAACATGTCGTGCCTATGTAAAACAAATCAAATAGGCTTACTAGCTTCTACACGCTAAAGCAACTCAAATCTCTCACCAGCAAAATACCTCGTCAGTTAAATGACATTTTACGTTTCATTACTATACGATACAGTATTTATTATCGTTATAGTATTACTATTTCGGCGATTAGATAAAATATAAATTATATTTGATGCAACTTTAGTTACATTTCCATGACTTTTCCAAAACTTTGGGAAAAATATTGTTTTCCATAACTTTTCCAGGGCCTGGAATTAGCATTTTGAATTTCCATGACTTTTCCAGGTTTTTAATGACCGTAAGAACCCTGGTGTGTGTATTTAGGCTCTGTTTCCCCTGTCAGTGGACAGGTAGTGTGTGTGTGAGATCCTTGTGGCTGGTGACTGTGTTCACAGGTAACGGTCATATTGAGGCTGTGAATCATGTGCCCATGATTTAATAAATGCCCACACCGGGTTATATTTGAACTCTCTGCCTCCTTGCTTGGTCGGGCCGCTCAATGGCTGTCTCACAGGACGTTTACATTTTTAGACTGTAGTATTTTAACTTTTAAAATAGGTACTAGTACTTCTTCCACCAGTGCTTTCTACTGTAGATATGTGTATATATTTAAAGGTGCTTTCCATGTGCAATGTGCCATTAACCTGCTGCTGCTTTGACTGATATACAATTTGGGATCAATCAATGAAATACTTATTCTCATCTAAAACAGCCTCAAATCCACCACTAAACAAGGGACACACTGGAGGGTATTCTTCAAATATTAAGTCATAATAAACATTTTATGGAATTGTAATTATTGTATTCTAAGTGTATTTGTGTCATTGTGTGTTTTGTACCCATTCATTGGTATTTTCACATGTATCTTGTCATTGTACTATATTCTCAGATATGTCTGTTATTATATTATCATGCATGTTTGTTGATTTGTGCAGCCCTCTGAGACAATATGTGTGTGATATTGGGCTATATAAATACATTTGAATTGAATATAACTGAATTAATAATGAGTTTGAT